GACTGACCGAAAGAAAGGTTTAAAGAAAACAGCTTTAACAAAATTAATAAATTTAACATAATAGATCTATCAAGAACGAAACAGTTCAAGAAAATTAAATTTTCTGAATAGAAATCTAAATAATTATTAAAATAATGGCTATCTGCATTAATACATGTAAACTGTGTCATGAGAATATGAATCTGCTACAACTGCACATGTACGTTTATGCTAAGCTCTGACTTATGTACATGTAAACATTTTACATTACAGATACTTAAAACCTCGTATTTATTAACGAACATTGAATGGTTAAATACTTTCTTCTTTAAAATACAAATCAGAAAAATTAATAGAGTGAAATGCGACTTTTGTGACTAAATAATTATAAATCATTGCTATTAAACTCTGTGTGTACTGTTTCTAATAATAACGAAAAATAGGTTTAATTACGCAAATGAATTATTAAACCTTAAATATCATTTTACACTGACCCGGTAATTTCATACTAGTATTGTATTGTATTGTTTATTACCAAGAACCATACAGTTCATAGGTTTAACGTATATACATAAATCAGTTGTACAGTATATCTATAACATTTCAATATCATCTGAACATTAAGTAAAGCAGGATCATAGAAAAATTTTACAATCTATTCATTCTAAATTCATAAAGCAGAAAAAGCACAATAATATAAGTTTAGTAATAGTACGTATTAGTGAGGATAAAGTCGTTATATAAATTCAATTTACATCTGCTCTTAATTTTGTACATTTATAAAGATATTTTCCCAGTTTACATAACTCTGTTACATTTTTTGTCGACAATAATTGAACAAGTTTAAAAGTAGAGGGATTTTGGTGATAATATTTCTTAATATACTCTTTTCTAACATTAGAAAAAAATGGACAAACCAGAATAAAATGATACTCGTCTTCAACCTGTGACATTGAACAAAATTTACATAATCTTTCTATTCTAGGAATATTATACAATTATTGCTGTGTTTTGAGGTCAATACAATGATTTAGCCATCTGAGGAGTATAATATTCACCGAGCCCGGAGGGCGAGGTGAATATTGTACTTCGAAGATGGCTAAATCATTGTATTGACCGAAAAATACAGCAATAATTGTTTTATTATATGATTCACTAATAAAATGATAATACCCATTACTTGTTTGCATTTAAATACTAGTAAGTCCTATCCAAATACAATTAAGAGAGATACAGAATTAAAATGTTAATCCACCTTATAGGTCGTATTAATTTTTTTTTAAAAGTTTTTTTTAACAATTTTAGTTGCCATGAAAAAAAAATATGTCAGTCTTTTTTCTAGGATAGATTTTTAAAGCAAGGAGTATTAGCAGGGAAAACTGACTGCCAAAAAGTTAAAATTGTTCTTCAGTAAAAGTGTTGGAGGAATGTCCCTGCATCCCCTAATACCACCCTCACCCGAAAATATATATTCGCTTATGTTTTCTTCACATAAAAAAAGTAATAGTAGTTTAAATAGCTTTCCAAATTAATTTGTATCAATTTGGAATATCCCGATCTATTTTTAGATCAATGTAGAGGAAATAAATCCTTGTATTTACCTGGAACGTCACGTGCAGGTCAATACAACGTAGTATTTTTCTAACATTGTTGGATCTCAGCCAATCAGAGAGATGGAAATTATTCAATCATATAATAATAAAAAATCTTCCTCGTTCTATCTCTAGTTGGTGAGAAGACAGACGATATTGACTGATATGTTGTGCATATTTTTGTGATATTGACCTTTTTAAATACAATTGTAAATCAAAACTATCACTTAAATGCTTATACAAAATACACTTCGGAGAACCTTCAAAATAACTTCGTGCTTCTTGTATGAACATGTCATCCAATTTTTGTTTCACCTCAAACAAAAAAAGTTTTTCATTAAGACTATTTTTACAGTTCCATGTATAACCAAAGCCTAATGTATCAACAAGTTCTTTTACATGTGACAACCAGCAAGGAAAAGTGTTAGATTCACACACATCTAACATTTCTTTGTATATATTTCTTAAAATACAATTATTGCTTTTTTTTTAATTTCAACCAATACTTAGTGTTAGTGTTAGGCATATTCGAAGGGCGGTATTTTGAAAGTCCGCAACCAATTTAAAATTAGATAAACAAGATCTAACCAAATAGCCAAATATAATATTGAATTCTTAAAATCGGCGGATCAGAAGACTCCTTTTGTTTTATTTTTATAGTAATATACCGTTAAAAATATTGCGAGCTAATTTTCATAGTTTAGAATGTTTGAACTATTTCATCCGTTTCTACGATCAATGAAATTGTTTCCTAGAATTAATTTTGTCCGTTTTACGTAGAAAACCCGATGACCCGAAAGTACACGTACCATAAGTGCAGTATATTTTTTTATGTTTATTAAAAGACTTATTTACATAAACATAATGGAAACATTCTACGAAATGAAAAAGAATCAACGGAGTGAGTTTATTGACTTCATTTCATAAAATTGATTTATTTGAATTTTTATTTAACATTCAAGATGATTTTTTAATCCATAAATCGTACAATTATTTAATGAATTTTGAATTAAATCTTTGATAAAATTGTTCAAACAAGTTGGGAACAAAATCCCGAAAATAAGTAGATGCGTTTTATTAGAACCAGGTAGTATTCGAGGTTAGTAATTGACCCCGGGTAAGAAATCAGTACAGGTATGTTGACGGTGATCACACACACAAGGGCCGAGGTGTCAGTTAGGGGAGAAGGGGGAGGGGGTGGTTGACCGCACAGGAAGACAATGTGCTAATTATAGAGCTACACATACTTGTCAGTTTTCTTGGAAGGAAAGGTCTTCGATTTATTTTGATTTTTGGCATCCCGATGGATTATATTTTGAGTTTATTTCCACGCCGCAAAAGTAAGCTGTTAAAAAACTTCATGTTTTCCCCTGTACATGTGTATATTTTTTTATGTTATCTAATGCCAGATAAAATTAATGAAAATCTTCTATTTTATAGTAACAGCCATGGTTTGATAAATTGCGTAGAATATTTTCATTGATTATATTTTATAATTTTGATTTCTTTTCTTAATTTAGACATATGTCAAGGAATTTATAATAAGCTTTAAAGAATAAATTAAAAATTTGAACGTATACGGCCAAAATCGTTGTTAAAATCATCTGGATCATTGTCTTATGTTATATTATACTAGTATTTGAAACATCAAGACTTTAAATATAATTTATTCTGCATACATGCAGGTCAGACGCGTAAAGATATTTCTAACGTTATCAGACGATAAACAAGGAAAAACAGAATATTGCATTAAAAAAGATACATTTCAATATCCTGTTTATTATTTATTTATTTGCTTTTTGTCTACGCAAACATCGTAGCTTACCAAAAATCTTTCTCCGGTAACTCTGTTTCATTTAAGAAAATCATATTAATAGTATTTAATTTTGACAAAATAAATCATACAATTCGATAAATTATGTTTTAAAGAAATAGACCAGTTGATCGATCGAATTTCATTTCCGAGAAATAGAGTTACTGTTTAAATTTTGACAATTACTCTCTGCTTTACCATGATATAATTATTTATTTATTTATTTATTTATTTAATTAATTAATAATTAATAAATCAATTTATTCATTCATGAAATACGTGATTAATTATTTTTTCCTTCTACGCTTTAATATTTCTTATATTGATGAAAAAGAAAAGGATAAATCTTTATTTTTTTCTTTTTCGGTTGAATTAATCTTATTTTTATTAACAAAACGAAAAAGAAACTCGGAATAGCTCAGTAGTTTCTTTACATAGTAAAGATAAAATGCGAGGGTTTCCGAATATACACGATAAACGCAAAACACGATACACGATAGAACCTGATAAACGATCTACACGATAAACGCAAAACACGATAAACGGAAAACACGATAGAAAACGCAAAACCTGAAAAACGGAAAACACGATACGATAGGATACGATAGGATACACGCACGATACGATAGGATACACGCACAATAGAACACGATAGAATTGTAAAGAATAACGATGCGGGTACTGTATTACCGGGGCCCATATAAGTGCACGCGTTCTTCATATTTTTTGCTCCAGTTTACAGAGAATATGACTACAGATATTAGATCAAAAATTCATTTAGTGTGTTGTTTGTGAATCACTTTATGTTGACCTGCTCCACGATCCGATTTTTGCATTTTTTAAAATTCTGATTAGATTTGAAATGAACAGAGATTAAATTAAAATTTTTAATACAAATCATTTGGATTGACTGTTAAACTATTTCTACCCTTTGGATAGCATATATATGACGTTAAATTTAAAAAAAAAAATGACAGGAGTACTACGTAATGCTAGCATTACGCTGGATTTTATTAAGCAATGCATTACATTACCATTACATATAATGCAAATCTTTGGGCATTACACATTACTAACATTACTTTGAGTTCATGTAATTATAATGCATTGCAATGCATTGCCATTACAGTTAGCGAGTTCGGCGTTATTATTTGCAGAAGCATCTTTAGTACTGACAGAGAGAAGATAGATAATTTTATTTTCAAAGCTGAAAATCTTGTTTCAAACATTACATCGTCTTCACGATTCGACAGATACGCTGAGGAATTTACCTCAGGTACGATATCAGAGTTTATCGGTTCCAAGAAATTTGGTACAAGGGGAATAAATTGTCTGTTAGAGGATGAGGTCTTTTCATTTCTAGAATCCTTACCAGGATTCCTCGTAGGTTGGCTCTTACCAGAGCCACGTGGAAGATGTCCATTACCAGGAACTCTGGTGTCATTCGCCTATTTCAAGGGCGAAATTGCTTCCCCCAGCCTCTTTAGAGCTTTTCAACACGTGTTTCTTTGTTTTTACTCATCATGTGTAAAGTAGTTAACATAAAAGGAAAACTGCCACAAAAGAAAAAATTCTCGATATTGGTAACAACTTTCTTAATGGTGCCGAGAATAAAGATGGGCAAGCGAGGAGGTAAGTGGCGCTGCTTGGGTTTGGGGAGTGTATAAAAGAGCCATAGCTGCCTTACAGAGGATTCAGCCATCTCAAGTATTTTAAGAATGGAAATCACCTGTTTCTATTTATAGATACATGTACCTTTTTAATACAAAATCAAACTACACGAATGTAATCATTTGTGGACCACTGTTATATTTTCATAGTTGAAAGTGTTACATGACAATAATTTTACTTGTTCAATACTCTTATTCTAAACAAGATTGTTAGAAATTTTTTTAAAAATAAAACAAGCTAGCAGCTATATGTATCATGACTTTGGGTCATTAAAATAGTTTAAGACTGATTTTTCACGAGAAACTTTCAAGGTGTAATGGTGTATTATATATCTCTTACATTATTTAAATACGTATTATAAAATGATTAGAGAAAACAAGGCAAAAATGCACAGAGAGAAAAAAAATATAATCGTAGACAAGAAACACACACTGTGAGACTTGAACGCTCGATCATGATGTTTTCAATCCAGCAATCATACCACTACGCCAAGAAGTCGTGAGAATTAAATGGATAAATTTAAGACAGATTGTTGAATCTTGAAATAATTTTAGAAGAAAAATTAAATACATATTTTCATCATTTTCAATATGAAGACCACCTTTAACCAAAATTATCTAAATGTAATGATGTACAGTCATATCCAAATAAAATTATTCAGAAGTTGTTTTTCTAGTTAAGGGTGGTCTTTTGCTACAGTTTGTCATTGTTTAGGGGGGTTCCTTAGTATTTACTATATTCTCCATATAAACTGAACGATTTTTATATCTATCATATGAGGTAACTTGTATGACAAAATTTTGGTTAAACAATGTATTTGAAAAAATTACTTCTACTAGAGTAGGTGAAAGTGACTATAAAGTGTGCTATGGCTCTTTGTCTAGGTGTTGGATGGTAACAAATTCTGGGAATGAGAAACTATTGTTAACTCTAACAGGTGAGTATGATGCCAAGGAGATACATGTACTTACATGCTCAAGTTTTTATCTAGTTTTTCCTCTGAATCAGGATTTACTGTAACTGCAGGGGAAGAAGATATAGAAGGTGTAGTAGATGTAGAGTCTGACGTTGATGCTTCATCAAGTATACTGAAACAAAATTTGGTAATTTTTCTTAGTATATAATACTTTTAGTGCCTTTTTTATTATTATTTTGTGATGAGTTTTTGAAGCTACATGTATATTTGACATTCAAATATTATTAGCTCACCTGAGCTAAAAACTCAAGCGAGCTTTTCTGATTACAATTTGTCTATGGTCCGTCTGTAAACTTTTCACATTTTTGACATCATTATCTTCTTCAGAACCACTTGTCACAAAGCATCTTGGGTGAAGGGGGTTCAAATTTGTTCAAATTAAAAGCCTCCGCCTCTTTATGGGGAGGTAATACAGAAATACTGAAAATTTGGTGATACCGGTATCTTTTAACAAGAGGCCCAAGGGCCTTGAATCGCTCTTCTGATAAATTGTACAATCTATTACTTCTATTTGAAGCCTCTAACCCTAAGTATCCTAAGACCCAAGTTGCATCAACTCACAAAGTTTGATAATTCTTAGCCAATAAGGACTGAAGATATTTTTAATAATAAAGCTATAAAAAAAAACATAAGTATGTCACAGTGACCTACTTTAAGATTGATGTTTTCTGAGGACTCAAGATGCATTAATAGACAAAGATTACAGATTCTAAGCCAATAAGTATTTGAGATATTTAAAAGTAGGTCACCGTGATCTACTTTTTGTCTACATTCTTTGAAAACCCAAGATACATCAACTGAAAAAGTTTGATGATTCTAAGCCAATATGTACCTGAGATATTCAAAAGTAGGTCACCATGACCTTCTTTTTGGTCGACATTCTACGAAAACCAAAGATGCCCCAACTACAAAGTTTAACAATTCTAGGTCAACCAGTACTTAAGATATGAAAATATAGCTTAAAATGTCAAAAGTAGGTCAAGGTGTTGTAATTTTTGGTTTGTGATCCCCGAAAACTCAAGATGCATCAACTGACAAAGTTTGATGATTCTATGCCGATATGTACCTGATATACTTAAATATATCTATAAAATGTCAAAAGTATGTCATTATGACCTACTTTTTTTGTCTACAGCCTTGGAAAACCCAATATGCATCTACTGACAAAGTTTGATTATTCTAAGCCAATAAGTACTCAAGATACTTAAATAAAGCCATTAAATGTCAAAAATTAGGTCACCATGACCTACTTTCTGGACATCATTCTCCAAAAACCCAAGATGCATCAACTGATGAAGTTTGATGATTCTAAGCCAATAAGTACTGTACAGAGCTCCAGATAAGGTGCGTATTTGCAGAAATACGCATTAAATTTGATAAAAAACGCATTAAAAATTAAACCAGAGCATACAATTACGCATTAGCAATCAAAGATATGCATTACACCACGAAAGTACTTTGTAAAACAAGTTGAAGAATACAGGTACAAGTTACTTTATGATACGAATTGAGGTTAACTCAGTGTTTGATTTATCTCAAAACGAAGTACAGATTTAAAAGCCTTTAAGTGACCAGGTATATTCTAGTAATGATGACGACGATCTCCATTTCAGAAGGAAGAATCAAAGATTTAGATTAAAATCAATTTCTATGTAGAAAGACTATGCACTTGGCATAACTTTTTTTTAATTATGGGTTCATAGCCAATTTTTCATCTCTCTCAACTTGCCAAATTAACGAAGATTCTTTTCTCTCAATTTACTCTTGATATGATATCTTAATTGAAGGAAAAGTTCTCTGACTCTATGGTACCTTGACCTATTGTATCAGCTTCCTTGTCAAAAAAGAATGATTTCCAATCTTAGCAAAAAGTCTTGTTAGTATTTGCAAAATTTTATTTCTTCAAAAACACACACTTCGATTACAAGCTCAATATCAAAATAAAGGTCAAAAAATTTATATATATAAACAAAATACTCTTCAATCATTTTGCTGAAAATAAAAATCAGCATTGATTTGAAAATCAGGGAGTAAATACACTTTAGGGTAAAAAATTATCTGGAGCCCTGACTGTAGATGCTTAAATTAAGCCATAAAATGTCGAAAGTAGGTCACAGTGACCTACTTTTTGGTCGTCACTCTTCGAAAACCTAAGACGCATCAACTCACAAAGTTTGATGATTCTAAGCCAATAAATATCTAAGATACTTAAATAAAGCCATAACATGTTGAAAGTCGGTCACAGTGACCTACTTTTTTGGACATCATTCTTCAAAAACCCATGATACATCAACTTACAAAGTTTGATGATTCTAAGCCAATTAGTACCTTAGATACTTAAATAAAGCCATAAAATGTAAATAGTAGCTCAATGTGACCCACTTTTTGGTTGTTACTCTCCAAAAACCCAAGATGCATCAACTCACAAAGTTTGATGATTCTAAGCCAATAAATACCTAAGATACAAAAATATAGCCATAAAATGTTAAAAGTAGGTCAACGTGACCTACATTTTGGTTGACATTTTTCAGAGTCCAAAGATGCATCTGCTGACCAAGTTTGATGATCCTAGGTCTGAAGTAATCAAAATATACCTTTTTAACAATTCGAAAACAAATGCCTGCAAAATTCAAAAAGTAGGACACAGTGACCTCATTTTTCATAAATATATATTAAGGTCCCAAGATGCATCAACTTATAAGATTTGATGATTCTAAACCTCTCAGTGTCTGAAATAATTGGATTAAATGTTTTAAAAAGAATTAGTCATTAAGTTCAAAAAGTAGGTCACAGTGACCTACTTTTAATTTGACGTTGTTCAAGGACCCAAGATGCATCAACTGACAAAGTTTGATGATCATAGGCCTTAAAGTGTCCAAAATATTCCTTCAAATCAATTTGAAAACAAATGCCCAAAAAAGTTTGAAAGTAGGTCACCATGACCTACTTTTGAATTAACATGATGTGAAGTCCTAAGATGCATCAACTTACAAGATTTTATGATCCTAGTCCTAATAGTAAGCAAAATATAAACGTTTGTATTATTTGTAAATTAAAGTCAACTTTGAAGTGACCTTGAGACCACGCCCTTTGCCCCAGGGTGATGCCTTGAACAATTTAAATCTTCAACATATCCTGATCCTTGTATGTAAGTTTGGTGAAAATCTGCCTGGTGGTTCTGAAGAAGAGGATTTTTTAGCAACCAGTACTTTTGGTTTTGTTTTCCTGATTATCTCTCCTTGTTTAAGGGTCCCAACCTTTATTTTAGTATACAGGGTAGCCCTTGGGCCAAGGATACCCTGTAAGAAATTTGACACTGATTGGCCAAGGGGTTCTTGAGTTATGGCCCATATTCTAACAAGAGGCCCATGGGCCACATCGCTCACCTGAGAAGCTTTGACCATTCTGTTCTTTACCAGATTTCCCCCTTGTTATACATAATGCATCCCCACCCTACCCCACTGATCATAATTTAGACATTTTGAAATCTACACTACCCCATGATCCTTCCATGGGCACATATGTTTCAGCTTTTTGGGCCAAGTGGTTCCTGAGAAGAAGATTTTCAAAGATTTTTCCTATATATTTCTATGTAAAACTTTTGATTCCCTATAATGGCCCCACCCTTTCCCCGGGGGTCATGATTCCTACAATTTAGAATCTACACTATACCAGGATGCTTCCACATAAGTTTCAGCTTTTCTGGCCCAGTGGTTCTTGAGAAGAAGATTTTCAAAGATTTTTCCTATATATTTCTATGTAAAACTTTGATTCCCTATTGTGGCCCCGCCCTTCCCCCGGGGGTCATGATGTGAACAATTTATAATCTACATTTTACCAGGATGCTTCCACATAAGTTTCAGTTTTTTTGGACCAGTGGTTCTTGAAAAGAAGATTTTCAAAGATTTTTGCTATATATTCCTATATAAAACTTTGATTCCGCATTGTGACCCCGCCCTTCCCCCGGGGGTCATGATTTGAACAGTTTAAGTTCTACACTACCCCAGGATGCTTCCACATAAGTTTCAGTTTTTCTGGCCCAGTGGTTCTTGAGAAGAAGATTTTAAAGATTTTTCCTATATATTTTTATGTAAAACTTTGGTCGGCCATTTTGGCCCCGCCCTATCCCCTGGGGTCATGATTTGAACAATTTAAATCTACACTACCCCAGGATGCTTCCACATAAGTTTCAGCTTTACTGGCCCAGTGATTCTTGAGAAGAAGATTTTTTAATGACCCAACCCTATTTTTTGTCTTTTCTTGATTATCTCCCTTTGCGAGGGGATATGTCCCTTCATTTTAACAATTTAAATTGCCCTTCACCCAAGGATGCTTTGTACCAAGTTTGGTCAAAATTGGCCCTGTGGTTCTTGAGAAGAAGTCGAAAATGTGAAAAGTTTACAGACGGACGGACAGCTAGACAGCTAGACGGACGGACGACGGACAAAATGTGATCAGAAAAGCTCACTTGAGCCTTCGGCTCTAGTGAGCTAAAAAGTTAACGAACACTGCACAAATGGCCACAGCATTAGCTCTTTGAGCCTTTGGCTCAGAAGAGCTAAAAATCTTCTCAAATACTACTGAGCCAAAAAAATTGAAACTTATGTGATGGCTGGTTTACATAGACTTATGTCAATTCAAGTTTGTCCTTTTCAAATGATGAGGTAGGGTAGGGCCACATTAAGTGATCAAAGTTTTACATAGGAGTTAAATACAAGATGATACACAATTAAAGTACAGGGTATATCATTGAGGAAGTTGGAAAGATTCCAGTTCCCCAAGACCAGGACTATTTCCAGAACACAGGAATCTTGCTAACTCTCTCAATTATATACTTTTTAACTGTTTTATTATATTGATACAGAAGTGAAAAAAAAGGATTACGAATGACGGGGGAATTAGCTTCCAGACTAACACACTGTTATGATTATGTGTTATGCAGGTTTCTTAATGACAAATTATTAATTATCAATATATTCCTATATCAATGTTCTATTTATTTTCGGTCTTCTTTGACATTTGTAGTTGAAAACTAATTTTTTTTCCATTTGATGTTAAGAAAAGGCATTTTTGCAAATGGTAGAAATATCTACTTCTTGACGTCTCT